GGGGGGGGGGGGGGGGGGGCGGAGGTCACGCGATTGATATATACTTCTACATGATACAGGCTCCCGCCTAGGGAGTTAGGTAGCTTGCCCACCGGGGGCGACGCAAGATGACATGGCCGATGTTAATGTATGTTAATGTTTTCACGGTTTGTATCGTGGGGATAGCAACCAGTCACGAACGCCGTGGCTCATTCATCTGACGTCACCCGTCATCATGGCATGTCATTTCCCCCTCCACCTTGCTGTGGTAGGCGACTTTCCCATCCTTTCCTCTTAACCGACGGCGGGCTTCGGAGGAAAGGATGGACGTCGCGTACCAGAGCAAGATGGAGGAGAGGGGGAAGTGGCAGAGAGAGAGCTCGATGTGCGCCGAGAAGAGGCTTGGTACCTTGCTTGCCGCCGACTTCGGACGAGCAAACGTTACGACCGTTCGCAAGGGGAAGTGCACAGAAAAATGAAGGACTGCAATGCACGTCCGCATGGTGAGGGCGTCAAGGGCTGAAAAAACAACACATGCTATGCATAGATACCCTTGAGGGTGTGGGTTTTAGGAGGACGGCATGCAGACCACCAATATTGGCGGCACAGGCACAGACCTTTTCCGTCACTGTTGGCATTCGTCAACTTCAAGCGTCTGCAACAACGTGGAGCATCGGTCGTTGGTTACCATGGCCAACATATACGCCGTGTTTTTCAAAGCCAGCCCCTTCATCAGCCATTGTCGCCCACCTTCGCCTGGTTGAGGAACGCGCACACCATCTGCTGTGTGCCAGGGTTCCGAAGCTGCTTCTTCACCCCCTGCCAGATAAAATACATTCAACAAGCAAGAGACAACGGGGGGAGGAGACAAACGGGGTTCAGATCGCCGGGCGCGAGATGGGGTTAGAGGAAAGGTTACTGTAGCAGGTTACCATTCGAAAGCGTACGGCCAATGCGGCGTGGCTGCTTCTCTGCACTCAATCTAGCCCAGTCAGCACGCTTCCGGAGATGCGAGTAGAACAGCGAGTGCCGTGAGCTGGTCGCCTGGTGACTCAGGCTATGGACATCAGACATGATCAAAATTTCATCTCCGCGAGGGCCATACTCTGCATGCATTCGACTCAGCTGCTCACATTGAAGCTCATTACACTCTANGGGGGGGGGGGGCGGGGGGGGGGGGGGGGGGGGGGGGGGGGGGGGGGGGGGGGGGGAAGGCACAATCGGGACGCCTTGGGAGGAATAGCTGAGGACGGCGGTGGTGCAAACTTGAAAAACTGCCTTCGGAGGACATCGTTGACTCAGCAGCACACTTCCCACCAAGCTCAACTTGACGGTGGTTGCAAATGTGTAGAACAGAGGATACCAATCGCTGGGAGGCTTCGACTTTTTCCAACTTCGTGCAAAATGCAACCAGTCCCGTCGAATCTCACGATTCCAGCCGTCCCCACTTCATATTTTTTTCCTTGTCAAGGGGAATAACTCGATATATTCTGTACATCAGTGTGCAGGGTCATGTTGTTTTGGAACCCTTGGGTCGAAACGATGCCAGTGTTCTAGGATGCCAGCGAGGGATACGCGGAGATTTTGCCTTCTGACTTGTAGAATTCTTGAAGGGCACTGATTGGTCGAGGCGTGCTTTCGCCCACAGCTTCACAGCTGAGGGCTCCATGAAAGGTAAGCCCGAACCACTTTGCTACTGTGTTGGCCAGCTCGTGGGGGCCACTAAGATAGCTTAGCTACCTTTTGGTAGAACTGCGCCAGTTTTTGGGTGGGGAATTGGATTTCTGCCTTCAATCTAAGACCAATGTATTTTTCAATATGACCATTTACTCACAAACATATACTTTAATGAAATGAACCACGTTCATTGAGGCTGGCTCAGTATCAGTCCGGGCATCCATCCGACCACGCCTTCGGGCAGCAAAAATATACAAAAACAAACACACACAAGCGCGTGCATGTCTTCTGTAGCTACCGTTTCTGTCTTTGATCCAGAGAATAGCTTAGCCTCCCCCATGCCGCCCCCTCACTGGGTCCCAGTTCATAGCAGGCATTTACAAGTGTTTTGTGTTTTCAACAGCACTGAGACTGACGTCTTTTCATTGGACAGGCGGTTAGCGCCGTCGATGCTACTAAACACACACACAAACATCCCCCGCTCGTACCTTACTCATTTTCTTGGCCATCTTGAGCATCTGTTTCGGATCCGGCTCATCGGCACCGCCACCTAGACCGCTCTTCGCACCCCCTCCGCCCATAAGCATGCTCATAAGGCCGCCCAAACCCTCTTCCGCCCCTCCGCCGACCCCCCCCGTTCCCGCGCCCATCATGTCCATCAGCCGAGGCATTCCTCCCAAAGCGCCCCCCGCCCCTGCTCCGCTGCCTAGATCTGGGAACCCAGGTGCACCTGCCCCGCCACCGCCGTCGAACATGTCGAACAGTCCGCCGCTCCCAGCTGGTGTGCTTCTTGCGGGAGGTGCCATGCTGGCGAGAGCCTTCAGGTGTTTGTCTGCCTTAGATCGAGCGGCTGGAGATATAGATAGGCAAGGGGGGAGCACATAGAAGCTAGCTAGGCTGACAAAGGGGTGGTATGAAACGGGCTGGGCAATTTTGAGAGCGAGCAACCAACTTGGTTTGTGATGCGCAACCGCATTGCAACAGGACGACGCTCGGAATCACAGCAGTCAAGTGCTGTACACCAAAGCATGACGCCGATACTCGACCCAATGATCCCAATCGAACACTCGCTCTGGCCCAAAGGCAACATATTTTATGCGTTAGTCTGTCAGTTTGCAGGCGAAAAGCGATACAACACACACACACACACGTCCCTCAGGCATACACTCGGCGGGCATCCCCGAAGGCTACCTCTTAATTCAGATACATGATCGCTGCTGTGGTCATCAGTTCACCACATGATGGTGTCGGCACCTGATCGGTCGGCCTCCGTTAGCCAACCTTGTCCCCAGTCCCCAGCTTCCATCTCAGCCATGAGCCCCAAGGCCTTCGCGTCCCCCGCCGCGGGCCCTGCCGCTCCACCGTCCTGCACCGGGGTTAACAAAACAAACACATACACGAAGAGTGTCTTGCGTGTAACACACACGTGTGTTTTGGAGTGTTATCATACATTGGTGTGCAAAATTGCACCGCCTGCGGTCGCCCGGGCTTTTGATAACCGTTAAACCCAGAAGCCAAGACATTTGGAGGCATGACTTGACGGTCCCCCTTCGAGATCGAGAGAGTGGCGGTGTTCTTGGGAGAGTTTGTGCTTGTGAGACCTGACAGTAAGGTTGAGAGTAGAAGGAAGCAGCACTTGCATGTGTTGTATGCATACGGGCAGCGATAACCCGAACCCTCCGGTTCTCGTTGAACCAGGCTACACATATATTTGTGAGGTGCTCGCCACTTTCCCAAACCAACGGTTCTACCGAAAACCTACGTTGCACGCATGTATATAGCTGCACGCTAGGCTGACGTGACTCTCCGCTTCACGTCTCGTGTCAATATACTGCTGTACAGAGCAGCGCGATTATTCGAGACACAGCAGTACCGTTGTGCGACTCCCGTAACCCACATACATACCGAACAGGCCATGGACTCACGTTGGACAGCTCTACCGATAGGTACGCGTCACGGTAGGCCCGCTGAGCGAGCCGAGACCCCGCGGCCCCGACCCCCGCCGCATCCGCCTGCCGCTTCCGTGACATCCCCCTCCTGTAGGAAGCTTTTTGCCGTAGGGGTCGAGGCAGGCCGGGAGTCCTGAGGAGCTGCGAACAGGTAGCCTCGGCGCCGCGAAGGTCTCCGCTCTTGCGTGTCGCCGTTGTGGTGTTTTGATGGTTTGATTCGTCGATGCCGTCGTGTGGGTGGACGCATCCGAACCCAAACCAATTTGGATGTCCACGTGCGTTGATGGATGGGGGCGGGGTGGAGTTCAGGGGCGTTACAAGCGGTCCATATACATCTACAGCCGACAGCGGTGGTAACGTATAACCGGGTCGACAAAGCCTCAAAAAGGAAAGCGCAAGGGACGGTACTGCTGCAGCGCACCTCAGGCGCACCTCGTTTGATCACTAGACCTACAATTAGCTACTTGTGCACCTTTTGGACGCTGGCTTCAGAACTCGGGCACCCTGCGTTGGATCATGCCCAACGTTTTCAAGGCACGCAGGACGTGTTCCCATGCGAAACACTACCGCTGTTCAAGGCAGCTCCAGACTACAACCAACTACTATTATAGTGGGTGATTACCGTAAATTACACAAGATAACACACACCCTTGACCGATTTTCGATGCTCGATTTCTCAACTGCAGGAACAGTCACCGCGCCGAAAGCGGCGGCGTTGAAACCGGCTCGTCGAGAGCTTTTCGAAAATGTATCATTTCGTTTATGCATCCTCTTCATCGTGGAGTAATCGAGCTTTGAAAATCGGTCAAGGAGGTGTGTTATCTTGTGTCATACGGAGAATACGGTAAGCCCGCAAACAAACCAACAATCCATGTAGAGGTAGGTACCTTGCCAGAGCTCAGTGGTGCATGGTGCACAAAACTCTATACGAACTCCTCGACCGTGGCGACGAAATACAACGTGGAGCCTTGGCCACGTTTCTATGAATTGCAGGGCCGTACTGCTGTGCTACTAACCCTACATACGCATGGCACACCTTAAGCTGAGAGGCTGCCAACGACAACCGTATCGCGCTCAGAGCAGGTGGGGGCGCCAGTCCTACCCCCGCCTCCTCTAGCAGCTGCGCGGCGCGTGCGAACTCCTCCGCGGCCTCCTCGTACTGCCCTGCCCTGTGCAGCGCCGTCGCTTCCTCCTTGATACGCCGGGCCTGGTCGCCTGGCGACGCCATGGCAACGCCGCCCCCGAAGGAGCCTGCAGCAGCAGCAGCCTGCTGAGCGTGTTCGAGAGCAGCGGAATGGCGTCAGGGAGGGGAGCCGTGAGAGATGGGCGTGGTGCTGCAGAGTAGCGACAAGGGTGGAGCTACAATACGTATTAGTCACTCGATGTGCTCCACACTTGTCGCTTGATGAAGCACGGCCGGAAAGAGAGCTTGATGGCGAACAGGGAAGAGTAGCAGATAGCATATCCAGCTCTCCAGCACACATGCGAGAGTGCGAGACTCTTCAACAGCCCTGTTGTGGTAGCAGTTGGAGCAGTTGGAGCAGTTGGAGCAGTTGGAGCGGGAGGTACAAGTGAGTGTCTACTACAGGTTGAGGAGTTTCACTGACTGCTCACCTTTCCGCAGCACAGGCTTAGCACCAACGCCGCCGCCGCCACAACCGCGCGATGCCTATATCTCCGTACCATCGTGTGTGGTTCTGTGTCTCTGTCTCTGCTAGTTGACCAGACTGCTACAGGGACAGCCCAGTTCAGCAGCACCGTGCACCTTGGAGCTCCGTCGATCATTCTGAAGTGACATCGGCCACATGATACCATGTACTTTCTTGCAGCCCTGCGCGGTTTGCGTGCCCCGTTGTGCACCTCGTCCTTCCACCCCTCCATGATCTCCAACATTGCCAGCTGACAGCTGGACACTCACAGCAGCAGTGCACCCTGAGCAGACGAGGGCAGACGAACGGGCCCGCCTCTCGGTAAACCATGGCCATGCGGCGGCCGAAGAAGCTCACCCGTCCGACGGGCTCCTCTTCCGCCTCCCGCCTTGGGCCCGGCATGAAGACGATGGACCTGCGCTTTTTTCCTGAGGGAGGATTGGGCCTAGCAGGAGGTAGCAGCGGCAGCAGGGGCATGGGTGCCGCGGCGCCCCCATCTCGTTGGGTGATATCGTGGGAGGTTGGGCCGGGAGCCACGGTGGACCGTGGGCTAAAGCTGGCGAAGTTGCACTCCGTGGACGTGGACAAGGATGGAGGCCCAGGCGACACGAAAGAGCAGTTCATCGTGGGTGAGTTGAGTTGCTGTTGCTTGTTGCGTTGGGCAGCTTGCACTCGGGCAGGCAACGACGAATGACATGCAAGCTGAGGGGCAAACGTTCTTGTGTGTTTGTGGCATTTGTGGTGTCTATAGGGACAGCCCTGAGCGCGGCACTGCTGTCATTCGTGCAAAACCCGATCGTCTTTTTCGTTTGGTGCTTATCTTGTCTTCCCTGGTCCAAGGTCACATTGGTTGACATGATCTACGCAATCTACGTATTCTTACCCACACTCGTGCGCTCCCACAAACGGCCATTTGAATTGGAAGTATGATACAATATGCATACTATTAGAAGGCGTGTCTCAGGAGAGAGAGGAGTTTATGCGCGACTTGCCGTTCCTGTGTTTTGCCGCGTTCTCAGCTGTGTTCAGGGTAGAAGTAAACGCAGCAGCCGGTTGACTAAATAATTAGTCTAGTGCCAATGTGCCAACGGCCGACATTGTAACCGGTCGCCCCAGTGGTCTAGTGGGCAGCTTCGCAGCCTGCTAAGGGCCAGGTCATGGGTACGAGTCCCGACAGAGTGAGTTTTTTCTCGGCAATTAAATTCTGGTCTCCGTTGGAAGCGACGTGCTGCAGAACTCGTTGTTAGTAAACTTGATCGACTTCGTAAGTCGCGAGGGAAGAGATTGCTGTACCCTTCTCGCGATAAAAATATCTTGGGCAGGAACCGCAGAATGGGGTCCAACCCCCCCCTCCTGNGCTTCGCAGCCTGCTAAGGGCCAGGTCATGGGTACGAGTCCCGACAGAGTGAGTTTTTTCTCGGCAATTAAATTCTGGTCTCCGTTGGAAGCGACGTGCTGCAGAACTCGTTGTTAGTAAACTTGATCGACTTCGTAAGTCGCGAGGGAAGAGATTGCTGTACCCTTCTCGCGATAAAAATATCTTGGGCAGGAACCGCAGAATGGGGTCCAACCCCCCCCTCCTGTACGTGACCCCGGTTGGGTCGTCTAGCTGGTAGAAGTGGAGGATAGGGGCCAGCGGCGCAGACGACAGAGTCCAATAATGGGAGAAAAAAAAAAGTGCCGGTGTTTTGGGCGGGCACGCACTGAAAAACCAAGTGCAATCTGTACTGTGAAAAGTGTCGGTGGCTCTGAATATTGCCGGTATGCTGGTGTGGTCCATACTGGCACTACTGAGTAGTCCCCACTAAATCGAACAGTCAACGTACGTGGTTGCTTTGCATGCACGTACATATGTTTGCACCACACCGCCGCAGCTCTCCCACGTTACTTAAAGGATGGTAGCTTGTACTATCTGTACCTGGATTCTACGATGACAAGAGTACAGCCGTGCAACCAACCGCCCGCAGACGAGGTACGCCTGACACATTTCCAGTCAATGGAGGGTATGGTATGGTGTGCTACTATAGCTTAGAGTCAAATTCGGTGCTGGTTGCTCTGCTTTTGACAAGATTGAGATTTCATCGGGCGTACCTTCCCGTGGCAATGTAGGCTTTCGGAGTTGACCTCTTGTAAGTACTTCTCTTCCAGTCCTTGAGAGCGCGATGTGCATGGGCTATATCGGCCGCGGCTGCAATGGTCGTGTTCGTTGCATTGGGTACCCTGTATTGGCCGGACAAAGGTGGGATGTATATAATCTTTTGGCCAAGAGGTGATGCCCTACATCTTGGTTGTTGTTAATACCGAAGAGAACCGTGCAGTAGGTCTCGCGCAAGACGAGAGCCTTGCTGTCGTACAGCATGGACACAACTTCCCAAGGGGTTCTATACATGTTTGTTACAAGTCCAATAGAACTAGAACTAGCGGGGTGTGTGCCATATTGTTTTGCGTCGAGGGGGCGAATGACACTATCACGCATGCACTGTGTCTACGCGGGTGCTGTTTTTTGTTTTATGTGGTTGGCAGCATCAGGATATCGGTACAGCAGACGCGAGGCACACACGCTCGTGCAACACACACAGAATCAACATCACACCAACTGATGCCACACTTACCACAGAGAAAGTGGACGGCGAGGCGAGACACGGATAGACGACATGATATCGGAGGGAAGATGCTTGGATGACATTCTGCCTTCGCCGCGCCGAGTCGGTATGTATGGCGTCAACGCTCTTCATAAACATCCACTCGTTTCACTTTTTCCCCTCCCTCATCCGGCCTAAGCCTAACTCTATCCTTAATCGCTCCTTGGCCTCGTTTCACAGCACCCCGCGAAGGAATCCTGACGGAACTGTTGGTGCCGACCGGCGGACAAGTATCCCCAGGACAAAGCTGCCCCGACCAAGACGCCCCCGCCGCCGATAACGCCTCGTCAAAGACACCTATCGCCGCCGCCGCCGCAGCAGCAATCCGCACGGACTCTAGAGTTGACCCCCAGGCCAGTGGCGCAGGGGTCGTTGTGGGGCGTATCAGCTTCTGCGCGCACCAGGAGCTGCACGGGACCTTGTGCACCAGCTGCGGGCGCGTCGTCTTGTCGCCGTCGGAGAACGGTAGAGGTAGAGGGCAAGGCGGTGCCGGCGGCGGCGGTAGCGGAGAGCGGCAGGAGGAAGGCGGGGGTGACACACATCAGGTCTTGATGAAGGGCGGAAAGATCATGTCGGTCACCGCTGAAGGTGGGACGAAGTTGCCTGCTGGTGTGTGTGTGTGTGTGTGTGTGTGTGTGTGTGTGTGTGTGTGTGTGTTTTTTTTGTGGTTCGGGGTTGAGTTGCGGTACAGTTTCTTCCGCGGTGATATCTCGGTGCCGTGCAGCGGAAGGGTGTCCGCTAGAATAGCAGGATGAGGAGACTGACCTGTTTTTGTGTTTTGTGAAAACTCTCTATTTTTGAGCAGATCGTGTTGTGTTTTTGAAAGCCTGTTGTGAATTTTTACGACATAAGCTCTGTTCCCATACGTGGGGTCAAGAGTGCTAGGAAAGATTTCCGGAAAGTTCGTCGTCGATACATTTGAGCAGATATCCGTGAAACTTCATGGCGGTTCGGTTTCGACGTCCGGAGGCTGTCGCCGCTCCCGTGTTTGCCTTTCCGTTTGTTATCAGGCCGTCGAATGATGCACATGAACAAGTCGGGCAGGCTCCTGAACAGCAAGAAGCTGTCGCTAGTGTTGGACCTTGATAACACGCTGCTACACTGCTCCGATCACCCGGATGCAGGAAGGTGAGTCGAGTCCAATGTCCGTGGCAGCGGCACCCGTTGGCCACTCCCATGCCAGCGACCTTCAAAAGGGAAATAGTAGAACCAGGGACTCTCGTTAATGTGCAAATAGCGAGCGCCTAGGCCATGGCCTTGCAGTACTTCTCCTTGCCTGCCGACCGATTTTACGTCTGTTGCCGTTTCATTCCGTGTACGTTCCCCAACCAACACTATGTACACCACGATTGCTAGGGGCAGGAGTGGATGTGAAACATATGCCAGACTGCTCGTGACGATGACGATTGCCATTTTCATCACCAACACCACTGCCGTGTATGATTAACTACAATTTCAGGGTGGTCGTGCCAGGAGTGGATGGGATACACGCCCTTAGGCTCCCTAACCAGCAGCGAGAGTACTATATCAAACTCAGGTATGCATTCAGAATTTGCACACGTGTTTCTGCCATACTGCACCTTGTCGATTCAAGTAGTCATCCCGAACGGCCAAGGGATATAGCTAGCGCTGAGGCGTGCGTGACGAACTCGTGGTACAGCAGTGGTGGAAAAAAAAATCATGAACAGCGGTTCCGAACCCACCAGCAGGATACGGTCGGCGACAGTAAACGCTTGACTAGCTGATCATGTCTGCTGTGGTGTGTGCTGTGTGTTTCCGTGATTTTGTTAGGCCCGGCCTCAGACGGTTCTTGGCACAGGCGGCGACGATGTTCGAGATGACCATTTACACCGCCGGAACTTCGCAATACGCAGATGCGGTGAGATTTTACTGCTGCTCTTGTTGCTGTTGGTGGCGGTGATCGTGATGGTGGTGATAGTAAATGCGTACGGAGAGAAACAAGTATCATCAAATGATTGTCCAAAACTGTGGCACCCACTCTCAAACGCCGCCTGGTTCTCCTACTTTGCCACCATCGGCAAGCGGATGTCGTGACTACTGCCACCTGCTGCTCCCATGGCCATGATCGATATGATCAATATGACCGATCATTGGTGATGCTGGTTGTGGCATCCCCAGCTTTCCAAGCCGAAGCGGTGGTGCTAACTTCTGTAGGCGCGTGCGGTTTCTCCTTGTCCCGACGGTCGTGGGCAGGTGGCGAGTGTGCTTGACCCCGACCGGAGCCTGTTTCAGGGCCGACACTTCTCGACGTGCTACACGCCAGACCTAGGCCGCAACACCAAGGTAAAGCTGCGAAGCGAACACACAGATGCTGTAGGCGAAGCCACTGCCGTCTCCCTCCCTCTCTCTCTCTCTCTCTCTCTCTCTCTCTCTCTCTCTCTC